TTTGTTATTAAATAAACACGTAAACGTCTTCCAGACATTTGTTATTAAACAATCACGTAAACGTCTTCCAGACATTTGTTATTAAACAAACACGTAACGTATAGTTCGTATCAGGAAGGAATCGATCATATAATAAACCCTACCGTTATATCATCAGCCATCATACAGTAAACCATTGTTACATCATCAGCCATCATACAGTAAACCCTACCGTTATATCATCAGCCATCATACAGTAACCCTACCGTTACATCATCAGTCATCATACAGTAACACTATCGCTACATCATCAGCCATCATACAGTAAACCCTACCGTTATATCATCAGCCATCATACAGTAACCCTACTGTTATATCATCAGCCATCATACAGTCCCCCTATTGTTATATCATCAGCCATCATACAGTAAACCATTGTTACATCATCAGTCATCATACAGTAACACTATCGCTACGTCATCAGCCATCATACAGTAAACCCTATCAATTTCTTGTTTTATATCCTCTTTTTTTTCTTTTTGATTCAAAATCGTCTAAAACAATCTGTATAGATACATACTGCGAAATCACTGAAGTTAAACAATGATCTAATGATATTCTTGTTATTTTAGTAACAACAACAATTAAAATTTTTCGGCTGTTACTAATTCCAAAACAATAATAATATCCAAGCTGTTTACTGTTTTTTTATTTTTAATTCTTACAATAATATTTCAATCCGCTCTTTTTTTCCGTTGAAAATTGTTAAAATGACTTAATATGAAAACTGTTGTTGTTGACTGTTCAAATCTCATTCTCCGTTATAGCATTCTTTCAATGATGCGACTTTCACAATATTTTTCGTGTTTTTTTTTATCGAAAATAACCTGTTCTATTATTATGTTTATAGAACCTATTAATGAACGACCAGTGCTATTCATTAATTCATTGTTTCTTGTTAATGTCACACGTTTATACGTCTTAAATAAATCCATTTCATGTACTAATAGAATGCATGTCTTCATTGCAGGTCTTTCATCTCTCGTAGAAGCTAACTGCAGCGGTCCAGACGCAATGGGCTTCAAGGAATTTGAAATAGAAAAAGTAAACAATTTTGAAACCTTTCAGAAACAGAATTAAGAAACCTTAAGTTCTGTTAGCTGTTGTAGTGTCTTACAACTCTTAATGTGAAAGCATTTTCTATCTGTTCTTAATCTATCAATAATAAACGGTTTTACAAGAATTAAATATTTTAAAATATTAAGCACAGTTAATTTTATTTATCCACGAAAAAAAAAACCTCTTCTGTAAATATTTTCAGAACATTTGAATTTAAACTCAGGCGAGAAGATTGAAACGTATTTTAAAGATGTTGGATTTTAGAATTACATTTTCTTAACAAACAGAATGTAAGGCTTATAAAGAATATAAACCTGTGCTCTGCAGTAAAAGCTGAAGTATCTTATTACGAAAGGTAGGGCCTGGCGTGGCCTAGTAATTAACGTACCAGACTATGTATCTGAGGGTCCATGGTTCGCTTCCCATTTCCTCACTTTAAGACCCTTGGTGCGTTTAAATTAGAGTAGTCCAAGAGTTGGCGGTGGGTACTATTTACTAACTGCTTCCCCTCTAGGGAATATCCGAAACAAAGGATATAACGTAATATATATATCTAAATATTGATTTTGATATTTATTGTTTAATAACCTGTAGGTTTTTCGATTTGATTTCTCGTAAAGAGTAGGTTTTTATTTTGGTTTCCAGTAAAGAGTAAACCTACTCTTTACTGGAAACCAAAATAAAAACCTACTCTTTACGAGAAACCTAAGTATAAACCTAGAATTTTGTTGTAGCGTGTTTCTATTGGTTGTGTAAGTTTAAGGCTCTTCTAAAGGTTTAATCCAGCTGTGTTTCATAAATACTCTGTTCTAGAAATCTAAACCTAAACCTACTCTTTACTAGAAACCTGAGTATAAACCTACTCTTTACTGGAAACCAAAATCAAAACCTACTCTTTACTAGAAACCTAAGTATAAACCTACTCTTTACTGGAAACCAAAATAAAAACCTACTCTTTACGAGAAACCTAAGTATAAACGTACTCTTTACTGGAAACCAAAATAAAAACCTACTCGGCTACTGATTGGAGGCTTAAAACATTGTTGAAGCTATTGTTATAATTACAACTTCCAGTATAGCTTTATCGTATAAAATGGTTACTTGTTTTGTTTCACCAAATAGTTCCTAGGGGATTGGTATGAAATTTTCAAGACCGATTCTGGATTCGCCAATTTGAAGTCTGGATTGTGGCGACTAGAAATGACAGAAGATCAAAAGCTGATGTTTACCTACTCAGCAGAAGCGGAGTAAGCCTTTGTATCAATAAGCAATTGAATTCTTAACCTACTTTTAATCTAGTGTTAGCTAGTTTTATCAGTTTGTCTGTGTTTGGTTGAGATTTCTGGCTCCTTTAGTGTTTGGTTAACCGCCTGTCTGGTAACAGACCGTTGGTTGTCCTTTATTTATTAGATATAAAGCCAGACAGTTGTTCTCTCATCAATGAAATAAACTGTTACTGCTTACAAAAAGTTATTTATGAGATTAAATTGCAAGCTAACTTTATTCTTTAAATAGCTAAATTATAAGCTAGACAACTGTTTATTATTTAACCAACTTCCCAGTTTAACAATTGTTTACTGTTTAACTAAATTCTCAGTTTAATGACTGTTTATTATTTAACTAACTTCCCAGTTTAACAATTGTTTATTGTTTAACTAAATTCTCAGTTTAACAACTGTTTATTTTTATTAAATTACAAATGTGACAGCTGTTTACTGTTTAAATCAAACTGTAACGCAGACGAGTGTGTGTTTTGTTTTAATTAGATTGTAGGCTTCAAATTCTAAGCTACAAATT